TTAGCCATTCTGACAGGTGTGAGGTGATAGCTCACTGTGGTTTTGATTCGCATCTCCCTGATGATCAGTGATGAGCAACTTTTCATGTGTCAGTTGGCCATCCAAATGTCTTCTTTGGAGAAAAGTCTGTTCATGTTTCTGGCCATTTTTAATTGGATTATTTGTTTACTGGGTGTTGAGTCTTTAAGTTCTTTATATATTTTGGATAGTAACCCTTCACTGTATATGTCATTAGCAAATATCTTCTCCCATTCCACAGGTTGTGTTTTAGTTTTGTTCATTGTTTCATTCATTGTGGAGAAGCTTTTTAAACAATGGACTATTATTTAGCCATAAAAAAGGATGAAATTTTGCTATTTGTAATGACGCAGATAGAGCTAAAGAGTATAATGCTAAGTAATATAGTCAGAGAAAGGCAAACACTATATGATTTCACTCATGTGGAATTTAAGAAACAAACAAGTATAGAAAAATAAATGAGAGAGAGACAAGTCAAGAAACATTCTTAATTATAGAGAATAAGCCGATTGTTACCAGAGAGGAGGGCTGAGGGAGGCTGGGTTGAACAGGTGATGGAATTAAAGAGTGCACTGTGAAGAGCAGCGGGTATAGAAGTGTTGAGTTACTGGATTGCATACCTGAAACTAAACTCTCAGGAGTGAAAATAAAAACTTCAAAACAGAAACCATTCCCTTATTGATGGGAATTGAAATTGCTTCTAGGGGTGCCTAAGGTGGCTCAGTGGGTTAAGCCTCTGCCTTTGGCTTGGGTCATGATCTCAGGGTCCTGGAATCGAGCCCCGCATTGGGCTCTCTGTTCGGCAGGGGGCCTGCTTCTCCCTTCTCTCTGCCTGCCTCTCTGCCTACTTGTGATCTCTCTCTCTGTCAAATAAATAAATAAAAATTTTTAAAAAATCCCTTCTAAATTTTTCCCTCTATAAATAATACTTCAGTAAACATTCTTATGCACATTGCTTTTATTTTTATAGGGTAGATTCCAAATCAGATTATGGGGTCCAATTTTAGGATCCAGTAGATACTATAAAATTACTTTAAAAATGTTGCATAAAGTCACATTCTGACCAGCAATATATGTGAGTGCCCTTATCCCAATACTGACATCCCTGGGTAGTAAAAAAAATTTTTAACATTCTTTCTTATTTTTTTTTAAAGATTTTATTTATTTATTTGACAGAGAAGGAGAAAAAGAGCACAAGCAGGGGAGTGGCAGGCAGAGGGAGAAGCAGACTCCTCTCCAAGGAGCCTGATGCGGGGCTAATATTCTTTGTTTTTTAAATGCATAATATTCTGACTTCTTGTATAATTAAGATTTTTTAAATCATGTGTTTGCCTTTCCTCTTGTTGGGAAGTTTGCAGATATCCCCAGGCTGACAATGGCAGGTTTGATAGAGCCAGGATCTTCAGTTTCTTTGATACCTTCCCTTCTTCCTAGGCTCCACCCTCCCATCAAATCCTTGCTTTTTCTTCTCACAGGGAGCCCACTAAGCTACTAATTATCTTTCACCATTTTGGCAGGTCTCTAAGTTTTCTTTTGGAATTATAGTCATCTGTTTATTTCCTTTGCACATTTGGCTACTTAGTAATTGATTTTTTTTTTCTTACCTATTTGATGTAGCTCTGTGCAAACTAGGCCATTAACAATTTGCTTTATATATTTTTAAGAAACAAATTATAAAAGTTACTATTTTACTTAATAATCAACCCAATTTGAACACATTTTATTTAATTTTAATCATATTAATCATTTAAAACAAGTAATATAATTTTTCTTTTTTTGCTGCTTTTAGAAACTCACCATTTAACATCATGCATTTTCAGTACAATGCTATAATAAGTTAACTGCAGAAAAGCCACTAAAGAATGTTATTTTATTTTATTAAATAACAGCAAAGGAACTATAAAGATTTAAGTAGCTTATATGAAACTTAAAAACTTTCCAAACTTGGATATGAATTTTTTTTTTTTGTAAGGTGGGGGCTTTCTCCCAAGAGCTTCTATTTCAAAACCCAAATGGGATTTCAAAATACGAGTAAATAAATGTCAAAGCCTCTTGGCTTCTTCTCTGCCATTCTTTGCCTGAAATCCTGCCAAAATGAAATTTTCCATTCAAGGACTGGCATTTACTAAGCTGATTTTTCTTAAAGACTCACTTTCAAAAGTAGTGGAAATTCTGAGCAACTTTCGACGTTCCTCTCTGTGGATAGAACAGCTTCCTCTCTGTAGACATTTTCCACAATGGCAACTTTTTCTGAAAAACGAATTTTTCAGTCCTTGAAATATGTTAGGCATCTAGGTCTATTGTTTTTTTTTTTTTTCCCCAGTGCCAAACCCAGAAGATAAACAGCAGCCAAACTAAAAGCTAGTGTTTCATTAGGTATCATAGCACAAAAAGGAAAGAGAAAGGGCAGAAGAGAAAGTGGGAGAAAGGAGCATGGTCCAATAGTTCACTTGCTAGAGGGGCACATTTATCTCAGAAAAATTGTGCTGTATCAACAGAACTGAGCTGTAGCGAGACTGACTGTCTGCTTATTCACATAACATCATTTTCAATTACTGTTAAGATCAAATAGTTAAGAGTTGAGTGCGTTTAAAGAATCCAAAGGCGGAACTGTGGAGCGCCCCCCACCCCGCCCCCGCCCTCACTACGAGTAAAATCGGAGGATTAGGGCGCTGCTTCTTTTTGCCAGTCTAGCATTGGTGGGGAGAACGGGGAGTGCTTTGCGGAGCCCGTGAAAGAGTGAGGACTTGGGAAGTGGAAACTAAAACTGTCAGCCAGAAAAATCCTGCAGTATTCCTAAATGAAAGTTCAAAAAGTTAACAAGGAAACTGTGGGATGAATGAAAGGTAAAATTGAAAACTAGAGAAAGCTGGTTGAGAAAACTGAAATCTGCAGTCGAACTTTGCACTTCTAAAAGCAATGGCTTGAAGCAGCAAGCAAGTTAGTAGTCTGTCCTTAGGCTTTCTCCCCGCTCCTTTTCGCAGCTTTTCTTGTAGTAAGTGCACCCTGAGATTGTCGCCCTGTGAGCCTTTAATTTCTGAGTTCCTTTCCTCTTGTTCTCAGACCTAAGCCTCCTTTTCCTCAAATAGTATTTGTTCAGAGACGAATTATAGCGGAGATAGAGGTGTAGAAAAAAGTTTTTTGGTTTGGGAAACTTGGGCCTTTGTTGTGTCATTTCCCCTGCCCCGCCACGCCCCCAACCACGTGACCAGGAAAGGCCGGAATTTTGTGAATGGAGCTGAAAGGTGGCTGCAGGGGCGGGAGAAGCTCCGCCCCTTCCCTTGAAGCGGCCAATCTCCTAGCGGAGCGCTGCGGGGTCAGCAATAAACAACAATGGGCTGGGAACATACGATACATTATTGGCTGAGGCGAGAACCTCGCGGGGGCCTACCCGCGAAGCTCCGCCCCCTCCCGGTTGCCCTGGATACCCGTCAGGCTCTGGCCGCTGAGAAGGTCTTTGGAAACTGTTGCTCACGTTACCCAGGCTGGTTTATCCTGGGAATGCTGGGCAGCAGGACACCCTTGCTAATGGCTCCCCGCCTGACTGCACCCTCGGTGTACCCCAGAGCCTCACTATTCCGCTTGGAGACCCAGGCTGTGCCCGGAACCCTTACGTGACCAAGGTTAAAGTGCAGTTCCCGCCCAAAATGCCTGTAGGTGCTCGCGTTTGCACGGGCTACTCGTACTCACTAGTTTCGGAATGCACCGTGGGTGTCCTTGCTGTCCACAGTTACTGGGTGTTTCCCAGTTAATACTTTTTCTGTTGTTGTTTATTTAAAAAAAGATATATATATATATTTTTTTTTTTTAAATAGATCTTTACCCTCCTAGTTCCCTCCTTGGGTCTGGAATTGAGTCTTGTGGGCTCACACTCTCATGTAAATGCGTCTCCATCACGTTCCATTTAAGGAAGGAAACTTTCAAATAGAAATTGAGAACTGCAGCACGTTTCCCTACGGGCGGAACAGCTGCCGGAAACGTCCTTTGGTCTCCAGCTCTGATCGCCATCAGGATCACAAGAGAATTTCAACACCACTAAGTCCCTGGTCCCATCCCTACGGCCTCCCATCTACTGTCGGGCCGAGGCTGCTTCCAAAGCGACTTTTTTACAGCTCCAAGCCTCATAGGCGCGTCAGGGCAAGTGGTTTCAGAGTTGCAGCCCACACTTTTTAACATCCCGATCATTGTCCTTGAAACCCGAGCCCCATCACGGCTCGCCCCCAGCTCCGGACTCTGGCGGTTTAAAAGCTGGAGAGGAAGTGAAAGCGTCAAGTACAGTAAGTGACACTCTCCACCTCCGTGTGTACATAACAAAAGCTCAGGAAACGTGCGGGTCCCTAGGATATCCGAGCCGCCCCAATCCCCCCCTGGTCCCCCCCCACCACCTCCACAGTGGGCTGGATGCATCTTGTCCCTGTGCACGTGTAGGATACATTTGCTTTTTATACTTTTCCTCACCTAGATTGGTCTGTGGTCCTGCTAAAATTCCCTCCCAACGCAACCGCTCCTAACAAGCAATTCCTCAGTTCCCAGTGCTTTTACTCATAGATTATTTTACTGTCCCATGAATGATAGGGTCTTGATTTACTTGAGGGTGGCCGTTAAAAAGTGGCGCTGGGTGTTGAAAAACGGGCAAAGAATTTGGGCCAAAAGCTTAGTGGAAACAGGTCTAAGGACCGAGGTGGGCGCCTTATCAGGTTAAAAGTAGGGGGGGGCGTGCTGGAGATGTTGAGAGGATTCGGGGGAGTTAGGAGGCATGGGCTTGGTGGGTCGCACTTCAGAGTATATACCCGAACCGAACAAAAGGGATTTAGGCAATCAGCCCAACAGTGGACGAAACGCACCGGTAAGGAATACTAGCGACTCGGTACACATGGCTTCAGCGTCCCTTCATTGCCTTAACAATAAGCAGCACGTTAGGAAGGCAGTTGATTTCCTCTGTGGCGTTTGCAGGCTGTGGATACTGCGCCAGCCCACGGAGCATCCGCTAGGAAGAGGGGAGCGAGAGATCCACGAGAAGGGGCAGCAAGCCGCCTGATTGACAGCTCGAAATCTGATCTTGTGAAAGAGACGCGGAGCCAATGGGAGGCAGCGATCCATCAGTTTGGATTGGAGGCCCCTGGAGGAGAAGTAGAGGAAAAACCACCGAATTGAGCTCTGTCAGAGGCGCTTTCGGCTTCCAAAGGGAAGTGCTGGGCAATAATTAATGTTTTTATTAAATTTGGAGGGAATTTTTTGCAGCCGTTCGCCTAGCGTGGCCTTCAGGTGGGTCTTTCCAACAACTTTTTATGTCTCTCCAGATAATTGCATGGTTGTGGGTTGCAAAAACTATCCTTACGAAAGAGGTGTCTCCGTCTCTTTAGTCCCGTTAGGTGCAAAGCAAGTCTCGTTGATCGCCATTGCTAGTTTTGCACACGTTTGCGAATCAGAGCTGCCCGGGGTACACCGACCGCGCAGGGAAACATCGAAAGTGTAAATAAATACATCGCCTCTTGTTCGGATTTTTGCTACTGCCGAAAATATGTAAATTGTGAACTCTCTTGGCTCTCTTTGGATCCAGGTGAAGGAGGCGGTGTAGGGAGGGTTATTTTTGTGAATGGGACTGTTGGAGGGTAATTAGCTATGCAAATTCAAGAGCTTCATTCATGACTTTTTTTTTTTTTTTTTTTAAGCCTAAAAGCCATCTTGTTCCCCTCTAGGTTGATAGAAGTCCAGATCCCGAGGAAATCTCCAGCTAAATGCTCAAAATATAAAACACTCAGCTGAGATTTGCGAAGAGAAGCAGAATGGATGGATTTTATGACCAGCAAGTGCCTTACATGGTCACCAATGTGAGTGATCAGTTCGAAAGTTGCTGTTTATAAACTTGACTCCAAGGGGGGGGAGGGGGGAGGAGGGAGAGAATGAGAAGGGAGGGGGTAAGGGGGCTGGGATTGCAGATACTTTATCTGCTTTGTTGCCACTGTAGGGCGACTCTGCTTCTAGAAGCCCAATCTTCAAAATGAGCTTACCTTTCAGTGATTTGGATAAGGCATAGTTTTGTTTTTAAGACTCCCCCCCCTTTTTTTTTTCTGATTAAAGTGCCCAAGATGAGTGGAAGAGGAGACGGAGGGCAGCAGCAGCTGCTGCACTCAAAGTTTTTGGCTGGGTTTGTCTGCCACATTGAAAAGAATGAAGTTGAGACAAATGCTGACACTTTTTGTTTACATGGGGTGTTTTTGTTTCTTTTTTTATCGTCTCATTTTTTTCCTCAGGCTTTTTTTTTTTAAATTTCACCACTCTATTTTTATTTTTTGTTTTGGGGGGGTGGTATGAGAGCGAATAAAATTCACGGTATTTTAGTCTAGCTTTGATCCAGCTAAAAACGACTTTAAGTGTGATTGCTTAATGTTGTTTTGATGCTGAGATGCCATGAATATATGACTGATAAGTAGTAGTGTGTTAGCTTGGCGCTGGGAAGCAACTCTCCCTGGTTGTTGAATTCTTAGCCTAAGCTTTCACTGTCAAGTGAACGCTGAAAATGAGTATTAGAATTGATACTATGGACTTTTATTCTTTTATTTAGGGAAAGGATCCCGCAGACTTATATACGCATGTGTCTTTTGTGTGTGTGACATCTGAGGTTTACATTTTTTTAAAGGATTTTATCTTTCCCTTTGTAGAATCAGCGTGGGAGAAATTGTAACGAGAAACCAACAAATGTCAGGAAAAGAAAATTCATTAACAGAGATCTGGCTCATGATTCAGAAGGTGAGGTTTGATCTTTACCTATCCTCTCCATCCTCATAAAGGAGAGGAGCACTTCAGTCTTAGCTTAAAAATAATAATCTTTCAAATTACTGCATTTAACTGAGACTTTTACTTGGAGCAATTAACATAATGTGACAGTTTGCACTGGAGGATATTTTATGGCCCTGTCACAAACTAATGAAGGAAGGAAATAAAAACTTAACAGTGACATCCTTCTTTTAATCATTCTTTTGTGTTTAAGTACTCTTGTCCATATGGCACATAAGTAATCCCATACACCGAGGTAACAATTTAAAAATATCCAACACCTTGGGACAAAGTAAGCAGCTAGGTATACTACTTAATTTCTCCTTTCCACTTTATTAGAAGTTAAATGCTGTATATCATTGTTTGATTTCCCATTCCCCTTACACTAAAACCATTTACTGTTAGCAAGCTTTTCAGGGATGATTTTGATGACTACATGGTAAGGTCATAATATTTTGTTTATAGACCTTCAAGTGTTCACTGAATCATAATTAAGGCCTAATTTATAATTAGTATACCTATTTGGGAGATTAGGTTACAGATTTTTTTTTTTCTATGCACTGTTGGTTAGGAGGTCAATTTATTATAAAGTATTCCAACTATACGGGAGCATTCATAATGAATTTAATTACTTAGATTTAATTATCAAAGTTCAGTTTGGCATTTTGATTAGGCATGTTGAATTCTGAAACCTAATTCAAATTTTCATACATATTGGATACCCTCTCCCTCCCATTATGACAGAATTCACAGTTTTGGACTTGATAATAAACAGGTGCCAGGGAATTATCACACTTTGACTTTTGTAAATCTATTAATGTAGAATTTTCCTCTAAGATCTTGTATTTAAAAGTTGTCCCTTTTAGTTTGGAGGCATTGAAACTCAAAAGCATACAGTGCTTTAAGAATTATACCATGTACTGTTCCCATCTTTTACATAAGGTTCAGAAGATAAAAAGAAAGTGATTGTCAGTCTTTCTACTCTTTCCTCTGCAAGAGTTGACTCTATTTAAGAAAGGTTTACACGATAGGCACACCTTCACCTGAGCCTTTTTGTGAATCCTAGTATTTGTATGTTTGATGTCCCTAATCTTATTTATTAAGTTATTTGTTAAGAGGGAGGGAAATATTGCCTTCATTATTTAATTCACTAAAAGAATTTCATAGAGAAGTATTGCTTAATAGCCATTAAAATGGCAGGATTATTGAGGTATTTAAGTCATGAATCCTATTTTCTTTTTATATTGACTTCTCTCCCCAAATTAAATTGATACGTAATACCAGTTTCATGACACACGTTTCCATTTAATGGAGCCTAAAGGTTTTTCAAATCTTTTGTTTATGTCTCTGACTTGTTTTTTAGAACTCTTTCAAGATCTAAGTCAATTACAGGAAACATGGCTTGCAGAAGGTAAGGCAAAAAAATTGCTTTAAAAGGAGGGGAAAAGCAACTCTAGAAGGGGAAAAAAAAAAGTCCTGAACTTGCTGTCTTAATGTTCAGCCCAATTAATTGAGCTCTAAAAGAGCCACCTCATGTGTCATGCATACATTAGAGTCTCTGATGAGTTTGTCTTTGGGGAATCTGGGGCTGCACTACCCAGTGTCATCACAAATTACCAGGAGAAATTGCTTCCAGCTCACAATCACATCTGCTTTTGGCAAGAACTAATGCACCAAGACTTCAAGTTCTAAGCTTCTGTTCAGATTTTAATTGCAATTGATCAGGTTTATATTATTGTACCTCGAGAGACCTCCTAGAGCCAGAACCCGGCTTGCTGTTTCTTTTAGAGCAGCGCATATCATTATTTGGTGTTCTGGTGGAGGACTTTTCTGATGGCAGAAATTAGTTTCTCTGGGTTCATCAGGACGGGATGCTTCAAGATTTAAGTGCAAGTGTCTTCTTCCCACCTTGTTCACAACACAGAACGTTAGGTGTGTATCCAGTACTTAGGAAATCTATGGCTTTAAAAAAAAATCTTTGGGGGATTTGAGGATTTAAAGAAATGTTTTCTATTTGTTACTATTATGTGATATTTGCTGAAACTGATTTTTGCTTTTTTGTCACTTTTATTAGGATTTATTTACTATAGCAAGGTGACATGTAAAGGCATTACTCTTATTTTTAATTACTTTTTAGTAAAATTTTGTGTTGTAATCTATTGTTATCTTTTATTGGGTGAAACTTTATTTTATAGGAACAATGAGATACTGCTTCAATACAGCTTAATACAACTTGAGAAATGCCTAATGTTGAGGGACTTTTGTTGGTGTCCATACTTTGAGAATTTTTCTTTTTGGATTTGTCATAAATGTGAAATATTAATTTTGTCCTATGATGTGTTTTATGGGAAACACAAAGAGAAAATTCCATCTATTTAAGCTTTGAGTATAATTTGTATTTCTGTCTGTATGTTATCTGGGAAACATGCAATTTTTGGAACAGATTTTTAAGGTTGTTAAAAGAAGAGAGAGTCTCTTTAAATGGAACCCAAGTGTGGCTGTTGCTACTTTGGAGCCAGACTGCAATGTTTTATCGGTGGTCTTGTTTGCAGTTCATCAAGTTGCTGTTAGCATGTAAAATAAGTTTCTTTGTTTTGCTGATATTCTAGTTCTCCAAAAAGCTTTTGCAGTCTGTATACATCTTTTAAGTTAAATAGCTCTTCTAGTAGCCCTTTGAAAGGGTGGTTGCATTTGCATGTTCATAAAAGGTAAGTATTAATGACAGTTTTAGTTATATTTAAAGGTCATTTTGCTTGTCTCTGTAAATGAAACTTACTGCAATAGATTACTTACTATTGCAACATAAACCATACAGTCAAACCTAACTTTTTCAAGAAAAATTTGCACAGAGGTCGTTGTGTTAACTTTGATCAGGTAGTTTTGCCAAGTTGGAGGTTGTGAGGACATTACATTTATGAGGAAATGTGTTCGCTTATCTAAAATAACTTGAAGTATCTATTTTAATTGTTCTCGAAGGTTTGTTGGTTCTTAGATGTTTAAGTCTCATTGATTCCAAGTCCGTGCACTTGCTGGCAGATTTTGCCTGTGCATAGCAACTCTGTTGCTGGGATTTTAAAATTCGGATTCTGTGACAGACTCTTGCCATTCTGTAATCAGTTTTAGTACAGTCTTTGACTTGTTTTATTTATTTGTCACTTGGTAAGTGATTTGAATAACTTATCCAAGTTAATCTTTTAAAACTCTGCACTGAATATATTCTTACCCATGATTATTAGTATACCTGTAAATCAGATTTGAAGATTTAACTTTATATAAAATAAACCTAAAAAATGACTGATGTATTTGGAGGAAAATGGAACTTTACTTAGAAAATAATTCATAAGCTTAAATAAGTTAAGGAATTAATCCTCGGGGTGTTTTATTGAATACCCAGGTGGGCGACTGTTCACAAATTATGGATAAAACTGCATTTTACAATAATATAAACAGTTTTCCAATTAGTTTACATTAATTTATCCTATCCTGATATAAGCAAAATATTATTAATAGGACTTTTAAAATCTAAGAATGGAGAGTTTTTTTAATTTTTTTTAATATTTGTTAATAGATTGCATTTTTTATTTTTAGCAATTCTGTATCATTATATTATTTGTTTTAGCATTTTAACTTATCTCATATCTTGAACTAAGAAGAAATCTTAAAATTATACTGGGTTATTTGTAGCTAGAGTTGTCCTTCTGGACATCCAGAAATTAAAACATTTCCAAATTGGCAGATGAGGGACTGTTTATATATTTCTTTTCGTAATGCTTGGTAGCCAAAAAAGTGACCATGGAATTTTAAGGCGTCTTGACCCCTTTAAAAAAGATCACTGGCAATTAACCAAGTTTCTCTCATGAGTTAGAATCCCACTGGGAAGTTAAAGAGGTCTAAAAATCTTATTAGACGTGAGAGTCAGGTTGTGTCATATGAAAATCATGTTTTTAAAAAGTGTTCAAAGCCATGAATACTTGGGAAATGATTTATTCCAAGATGTTGTTTTTTCCTGGAAGAATTTTTATAAATTAGATTCAAAGCATAGCATATGGATTAGTCATACGTAAATTATTATGGATTATGAAATGGGTTTTACATCTAAGGACAAATAGGGGTAGATAAGGCAGGACCATTTGAGGGTGAGGGTTGGAGCCAGTATTTTCAATTTGCTAAAGTCCTGTAATTTGGGGGAATGCATGGAAGTATATTTTTAATTTCTAAACGGAGATAAAAAATATGTTTGTAAAGGATATAACTTTGTATTAGTATCACTTTCTAAGTACTAACACTGCAATTTAAATGTTTTTAACATATCTATCACAATTAAATACATTCACACCTCATCCTGAAGAAAATTGAAAAGATAATGTTTTCAGTGACCACAGTAGCACTTAAAAAGTGTCTATTTTAAGTTTTGCCATAGCTACTTTATATTATAATTTTACTATGTACAATTCTTTATTGATTCTTTGTCTTTTGAGTTAGATTGCTATGATGAAAAGGCAATTTCAATTATTTGATCCCATGAAATAATGAGTTCATACATCAATCCTATCAGCATCACTGTAACGTCTTATTCTTAACAACCTGTTTTATGTGCTGCTTTAGTGGATGGTGTCCTAGAAATTCATAGCCAAAATGGACCCTTTTGTGTGTGAGGGAGAGAAACAGAAATATATAAAACTGAGTTTAAAAGTATTGCATTCTTCTCAAATTGCTTATGAGAGCTTACCTGCTAACACAGCTTGAAGAGAAATAATAAATTTCATATGTATGTAATATAAATGCATAGCAAGTTTTGAACATTGTTTTTGATGTGGATCTAGGTGTTCTTGAGGTTCCCTTTCATCAGTGATATTAAGGAAAAGAGACAACAGTGATTCGCTGTCACAGGGTAGGATGTTTTTCAGTGATGTTATATAGTAAGTCAAGTTTCCTGCTGCCCCCATACTTGAATCAGAGTTTTATCTCCAAGAACAATCTTTCTACACCAAAGGTTATTACTTCATGCAGATAAGGCTCTTTTTTTCTATTGTTTTGTGTGACCTTCAAATAATAGGTTGGCTTAACAGTAGAGATGTCATTGTATCCTCTCTATTTACTTCAGTAGCTGATACTAAATTTATTCTTGTGAAGTTCCTTTCAATGATGTGTGCTCTTCGTTCTCGCTGTCCATGTCCTCCACAATACACAGTAGTCATCATGTGCTCATTTTTATTTTTCAAACAATTATACTGTTACTCGTTAAAATGGAACATAAATTGGATATGTGCTCATTAATTTTTTTTTGATGTGATAACGGTAAGAGCTAAAGACTTTAAAAATTACATTATTTTATGTGGTTTACATAAAAAAGGAAATGAGAATTAAGCATTAAATTACAGAAGTCCATACTTTTTCTTAGTATTGAGCAAGAATCATTTAGCATGTAGGAGGGAGGGGCGCTACTACTCCTCTTTCTGTTGTACCAGGAAATACTCTAAAATATGAAAAGAAGACTTCTTATTTGGACTTGATTAAAAGATAGCAGGTAGAGTAAATGTATATTTTTAAACATTTATTGGAATTATATAAATGTCTTTTCATTGAGGATCTACTTGCAAAATTTAAAAAAAAAAAGTTTGTTAAAAATAGAACTTGGATGTGATATAGCTTAGATATATACTTTTTCCAGAGGGCCCTAATAAGTATTAATGAATACTGCTTTTCTGGTTCAGTTACAAGAAATGGTCATTTCTTGAATCTCATAATATAACTTTATTTCCTTTCAAAAGCTTGTAATTAAAATAATAATAATAATAATAAAGTCAGACCTCCGTAGTATTAGGAAATAGAAACAACAGCTCTTAAGCTATACTTGTTTCCAAGTCACTATAGGTCAGTGTAGAGTTAGGAATGGAAGCTGATCCTAGACTGAAGACAGCTGAAATTTACTGTTTTCTTTCTTTCAGAGCATCAAGGATTAAAGAGGTTTCTGTCATGGGGAAATAGCCTCCCCCCCTTTTTTCATATCTTTAAATACATTTATACTACTGTATTAATTAATGCTTATACACTGGTACAATCATTTTTAATTTTAAAAGCGGATGTGGTATAAAACCAGGCTTAGTGGCTTCATGATTATTTTGTTCCATGGCCTGAAGCTTCATTTCAGGATTAAACAGAATACCACCGAGCAAAGGTTGATTTTCCTGTTGTTTTACTTTTATTTAAAATAAAATTCAAGTTTATTCATAAACTTGTTGAATTGTTGCTAATTCTTTGATTCAAAGTGAAATGCTACAAAGTTCAGCAATAATCTGTTATAATCTCAGGATAAAGAAAATCTGAGTAATAGGCAAGAACAAATAAGACATTTCTCTAATGATTTTTTCCCTCCCCACCTCCCTCCACTCTTAGTCCCTTCCTTTCCTCCTCCTTTCCTTTTTTCCTTCCTTTTTGGTTTTATAATGTATGTTTTTGTGAAAAGTTTCTCTAAAAAATATATATCTATAGTTATATATCTACATATAGAGAGATAAGTAGATAGGTCTGTCTAGCTATATGTAGATTTAATTTTGTAAACTTGTCATTTATTTAAATATATATGTTAAGGGATCTGAGCTGTATTTCAGACTGAGCAATAAAATTGGTGTGTTTATTGCAAGTTCAAGTTGACTTGCTTTAGTTCTCTGGAAGGGTGTGACATGAAAAGATTGCGGTTGGGCCACATGGCTCATGCTGGACTGTGTTTTTGTGAATGGAGGCAGAACTCCAGTTCTGCCTGCTTGTCTGGAGGAATTGCTGAGGAGATCAGCTGTCTCATTCACAGGCAGAAAGAATGACTCATACATCTTCCGCCTTGTTTGGCTCCAGGTCATTGTTACAGTGGATAGAACTGGTTTTAATTAAATATTAACCCCTTTTATACTTGACATTTGTTCCATTTGTAGTTTTTCCACTTTTTTCCTGGCTTTAAAAGAAAACTCCACAGTCTCCTAGTTTGTAAGGAACGGGAACTTTTTACTTGCCTGCAGCCAACCTTGGACATACTTAAAACTCTCACCCTCTCTTAAGTAATTAGTGTTTCATATGAAAGTTTTAGCCTAAAATAAAAGAACTCTATTTAAAAATCGCCCCCACCCCTGGAAATGTTAGTTAAGAAAGTATGCTGAAACCAAAAATGAGGGTTAGTGATTCTGTGGCATCCAGATCATGATTACTATTTTCTTGAGCTTGTTTCTTGTAATATGTATTGCTACGCACTAAAAGAGAGAAAAAAAACAAAACGAACCAAAACACAACAACTCTGGACCATAATCTAGGTAAAGCAAAGAGCTGAGAGGGCAGATACTACCCTTTCAAAGCCCGAGTCCCGAGACTTGATGGCAACTTGTCTATTTCTGTGCAATGAACTGATAGGGCTGGTCCAGCTCTTACCAATAAAATCCACATGCTTAATCTTCCTGAAAGCCTTTTATTGGTCTTTCGGTCTGTACTTTCCCCCCTTGTCCTTTCTTACTCTTCCCCTTCCTCTTTAATTACATAGTCTGGGGAAGCATTTTCATTCCCCAAAGGTGATTATTCCAAGCCTAGTTTATAATAGATAGCAGTGAAAATAGTGCTTTTTAAAGGTTGGCCTCTATGGTTAATTTTCCACTTTGGAGTTGGTATGGCTTGCCACAAATTTTCAGGCGGCTATAGTTTGCTACTTCACAGAATTCCTGTGAACTGAGGAGAAAAGGAAACGTATGATATGAGTGTGGCAATACTTTGTCATATTTTCCCTGCCCAGATCCAACGTGTGTTTTTTGTTAACTGCTTTCCTTTTACTCTAACTTGAAATTAGAAGTGTACTTAAGCCTTTGTCTATTTAAGTAGCATGCTGCTTTATTGGGTCTATTCCGTTTTTTCAGATTAGCTTCTGTGAAAATGTGAGTCATATGTTTTTTGTTAAAATGCTGTAATATGTTCAGGCATAAGTGTGAAGTATTTATTCAGTATGTTAAGGAGTTAGAACAGAAATAGCAATTCTTACAGCAATTCTTATTCTTTTTACAAATTGTTATGGACCTCTTTTCTTTATGTTTGTGAGGTATAACTTCCAGCTTCTTCTAAAATTTGGCTCCCCCTATGCTTATCCCAACACATACCACATATCCATCAGTGATTTTTATGTCTTCCTTGCAGTGAAACATCACAGAGTTGCAATTTTGTCTTATGATAGTAAGGAAAAAATAATGTCTGGCCTTTAGGATGCTCATACCAGCACATTTAGTTACAAATATATTTTTGTTACTCACCAGCTATTTTTAACTATTCCTGTAAAGGGATATTACATTTTTATTAGATTCTTGTAAATGTTGGCTTTTTAAAAGAGTAGAAATTGCTGTGGTTGATAATTTTGCATCTCAATAGTTATGTCTGTTTAGCTGTTAATTTAGAAGGAAAACCAAAACATGTGGGTATGATGGAAAAAATGTGTAGGATTTAGTTCTGTCTACCTGCTGTTATTTATTAAATAGATATTGAAAACATTTTTGTATTTTTTTGCTGTGAAGACTTATTTTAAGGGATGTTTCTCCACTTAGATGAATCTGTGGGAAAAATGAGCTTGCTGTAATGTCAAAAATGTTTATAGTTAAGAGAATACTAATGTACACATTTACCTGTTACTTTTATCCCTTTCCAATATAATTCAGGAGAAATGAAGATTTTAACCTTGCATTGGAATGACTGAAGTAGTTTTGTGTGTATGAATTGAAAGAAATGGGTGGGAGGTGAAGGTTCGGAAAAAATAAGTAACATTTAGCATTTAATTTGTCACAGGAAACCCGTATTACCACTATTAAACTGATGAATAAAATACAGATCAAATAGGTTAAAATAGTGTACACACTTTATACCGATAGAAAGTCATAAAACTGTGACTTGAAGTTTTCATGGCTTTCGTTATCCATGGTAGCAGACAGAAGTAGAATATGAAGAGGAAAAAAAAAAAAAAATCTCTTCTTCCATTATGTGCTGATCATTTATATCTTGGAAGAAAGTTCCTAATCTTTTTGGTGACGGAGGATGGAATTTGCCTTTAATAAGCTGATGTGTTGGTGTACAGAGAATGTTAGGAAATAATTTAATGTCAGACTATATATTTTAATAATCGGCGAGATTATCATTGGTTCTGCTCTTCATAACATGACATTAGTTTTATTCAGCCAAGTATTTCTACTTTTATTTTATTTTTATTTTTTTGAATTTCTGCTTTTAAAAATGTGATTAAATAAGCTGATACTAAAGAATAATCTTATCTATGTTGTATTTCTTTTTTATATACATTTTTAAATATAGAATTTCTTTTTAAAGAGAATTTTTTTAACTCATTCACCTACCAACCTGTAACTTTTTCCACAGAGAACGATTATGTTCAGAAACATTCCCCATTCACAGCAGGCTCTTTTTAAAAAAATTAATTGACATCTATTTTAATATGACTTGACTGGATGAAACATTTCAGTGTTAGATATTACTAGTAAAGTAATACTAGTAATCAGATCATAGCCAAAGTTAAATAGGATAACTCCTCTATTTTTACCAAATTAAAAGGAACTAACTTCTATTTTAGGTCATTTATGTGTGTGTGAGTGTGTATATTTGTGTGTGCATATGAAAGCTTGTTTTAGTAATATCTTGTCAATTTGGCATAGGTTATTTTGATGTCTGAATCAACTGTGACAAAAATATTTTAGAAGTGAAAAGTGTACTTGTGTTTTGATTGCTGCCGAATGCATTAAGTCCTTGCTCTCCAGTAGTTTTTTCTTTACTAAAAATAGGGAAGTTATTTGACACGAGGATTGACGAAATAGTGATATTCTTTTCATGAGTGTTGTATAGTTGCCAGGAAAATATTTTGCGTGAAACGATGGAATTTATTTTTATTATTTATAATTTTATTGTTATGACGTAATCACTAAAATATATTTTATTCTTCTATATGACCAAAGTCAGTGGATATGCTTTCACTAAAAAACTTTGTAGCATATCTCAGCCACATTTAGGTCAAACATTTTTAGTTATGGTCGTCTCATTTTCAATTGACTGAACATACTAGAGGGAGGCATTTCTGTCAAAGCAGAGGGATGTGTGTAACTGCACATCCTTTGAAAGAATGCTGTAGTTAGTATAGTGGCTGCTGCAGCACGAGCCGTGGGTGAATTGAAATACTTCTTACTCCATTCTTAAAAAGAAGCCCTGCAGCTAACAGAAATCCAGTAGCTTCTAATATTTTGTATGTTTCTTTTATTTCCATCTGGCAGGTGATGTTCAGAAGGACCACGACTGCCACAATTACATTTCCGACACTTGTGTTTTCTAGTTGACATCATCAATGGTTGCTTCTCTTTCCTCTCCCAAGTATTGCTCTCAATCCCATTTTAAATAGGAGGTCATTGGCAAATAATCATAGGTTTGATCTGAGCCGAAAAAGATCTTGCTTGACATTCCTTATGCCTTAGCACTTTCTCTCTTAATTTTTTTTTAATTTTTTTTTTTTTTTTTTCCTTCAGCTCAGGTACCTGACAATGATGAGCAGTTTGTGCCAGACTATCAGGCTGAAAGTTGTAAGTATAGTACGACTCATCTCTTGATTTTTTTTCTGTCTTTCTTGTTTCCTTTTTTCATTCTTTCTCTTTGGTTGGTTTCTACCTCCAGTGTCTGTTCTCGCATTATGTTGGTACCTTTTTAGCATATAGTCATGAGGTGATTCTGTCAGGTTGGGACACCAGCAGAATCCCTGTATGATCTGAGTGGAGCTCCAAATAGTAGCCAAGGAAAACTTGTTTTTGATTAAAAGGTGGTGCGATTCTCCGTTTTTGGTTAATACCTTTGGAGGAGAAATAGGGTATGATCCAATGAATGTGCAAGTGTTTACCTCCAGCTTTTCGCTGTTTGTGAGAAAAAGTCTGAATGCTGATGCGAGGAAGTCAGTAGTTAAGATCCATGTGAGGCTCTGTATCGAATACTTATAAAAATTTGTTGGCTTGTATTATTTTACATTCATGAACTTTCACCTACTTTGATGTGATTTTTAGCTTCATTTTCTGCCTCCCGGTTACAGTAACACAAACGGAAGGAGCCCGTGGCTTCTCTTAGGATCCCTGCAGTGTTTCTTTCCCTGAGCCTTGCTCCAGGGCCTGTCAGAGAATGTGTGAGTGATGATTCATGGGACAGTGGCCTCCCCGTAATCCCTGAGCGAGGATTATGCCTGTACAAACATGGCGGCCTCAGGCTTTCCTCCTCATATTTATGCTCTGCTGGTCTACCAACTAACTGCAGCTGTTGACCTGATGTGTAAATATGAAAAAAAAAGGGTATAAATGCCATCTTGAAGAAAGTGACCTAATAACGTTTTCATTCTGTTAGTACCTTTTAGAGCTCTAATTTGATTCACTTTTCCAGACCATTGACAGTTTCACAGGAGGCAGTATCAGCAGCAGCTAGAGATGCTTACTGCCTTACAGCTTATCAAACCCATATTCTCACACGTCTAATACCAATACCTATGCGACTTTGAGGAGCAGATGTCTGTGAGCAATGTTTTCCACTTTTATGTTTGGTACTTTTTATTTCCCAGGCATCAAGGGTTATAAGAAGTTACATCCAGATTCCCTCCTATGTTTTCGTTCATCTTCATTAACATTTTTTTTGTTCCATTGTGGTAAAATATACATGACAGAAAATTTACCATTGTAACCATTTTTAAGTGTGCAGTTCAGTGGTGCTCACACTGTTGTTTAAACATCGACACTGCCCACCTCCAGAACTTTCTCATCATCTCATTCTGACCTCTCTACTTACTAAAAAATAACTCCTCACTGTCCCACTGGTATCTGCTGTTCTGTCAGTTTGATTTTTTCTAAGAAGAGAATTTTGTGTGCTCTTTGATGTCTGCTTATAGTTATTATGCGATTTCAAGAAACCTGTTCAGCAATGATATAGACCTTACGTAGAGACCCTTAGAAATTTCCAGAATGATGACAGCCAAGGATGATGGCTAGGCAAGGCCTTCCTTTTTTTTTTAAAACACGGAGAGGGAATGGTCACATTTCCAGAAATTCTCTTTCTGTGGGACTTTCTAAAAGCTAAACCTGTCATCTGAGTGGGAGAATTATTCTCATTGAGTCATTTTACATCTGAAGAAATTGGTAATGATTCCAATAGTATACCAAATGCCGGGGTAAAAATCACTACCAGAAAGAAATTTTTGTTCCTTTTCTTTTTTGACCTCTTTTCAGTTTTTCATATTCTTGACTCTTTTGTCTCCTTGAACTCTCCTCTTGGTCCACAGTGGGATGATTTTTCCCTTTCTCTTTTAACTACTTTCATTCCTTCTTCTCCCTCCACTCATCTTCCTTCCCTCCTCTTTTCCTAGGGTTCTGTCCCCAAGCATTGCTCTTATCTAACATGAGCCATCCCTGCATAATCCCACAGAACTATCTGTCATGGTGGAAATAATCGGTTTCTGACCATTCGGTGTAGTAGCCACTAACCACGTTTCTCACTGAGCACAGGAACTGTGGTTGATGGGACCGAAGAGATGAATTTTTGTTTTATTCAATTTCTATGATCTTAAATTTAAAGTGGGGCTATTGGTTGCTGTCGTGGTCAGCACACTTCTGTATAGTGATGTCTCTTACATTTTTATCTCTGGCCTGGGTGTCCCCCTGCCCCTATCTGCTGGGCATCTTCCCCTGATCTACCACGTGGTCCTTGTGCCAAGTCAGAAAAGCCCAGTACCTCAGGACTTAACCCTCAGCCCTCAGGTAACCATCAGCATAAAACAGTCTTACACATGATGCTCCGTGGACAGTTCCCACTCAGCTAGGCCAATGTGGAATTTATTCCTATTTTTTTTTTTCCCTGATCAGTGTCTCTTTTGCACTTCTCTTGCCTTTCCAAGTTGATGGCATCACCACGTAGGCTAAAAATCCTTTATTTGCACTTCTTCCTGGTTCTTTACCAGAGACCTCTACTTGCTTACCAAGTTGTTAATTCTACCTTTTAAAAATAACTTAATTTTGTGGTTTCTACTTATCTGTGTTTGACTGAGTTCACAGCCACATCTGCCTTGACTGATCTTGTGAGTAAGCCTCTTGCTTGGGGCTCCTTTTTTCAGTCTTATGTCCTCCCAGCCATTCCCTGGGATGGCATTAATGCACAGCTGTCTGCCCTTGCTAATTTTCTCCTTAAACTTCCTTCAGAACAAAGTCCTACAGAACATCACGCTACCATCTGGGCCTTGACTTGGTGTTTCAGTTTTCACTCTTGCGTTCCCAGCGCCCGGTTCCTCCCTGTCCTCTGAGCTGGATCCCTCCCCATGTTTCTGTTCTCCAAATGGATGCAGCTGTTTTAGGTCTCTCCACCTTTGTACCCGTTGTTCATTTTGCTTTGTAAACTTCTACTTGTGCTTTGTGGCCTTGGTAGAGCTCCTACTGCAGACCTAGCTTAGACTTCACCACATTGAAGTCTTTCTTTTTTTCTTAAGATTTTATTTATTTATTTATTTATTTATTTATTAGAAGATTTTATTTATTTATTTGACAGAGAGAGATCACAATTAGGCAGAGAGGCAGGCAGAGAGAGAAGGGGAAGCAGACTCCCCGCTGAGCAGAGAGCCCGATGCGGGGCTTGATCCCAGGATCCTGAGATCATGACCTGAGCCGAAGGCAGAGGCTTTAACCCACTGAGCTACCCAGGCACCCCACTGAAGTCTTTCTTGATCTTTTCTTGCCACCCTTACCTGCAGAGTTAGGCTCTAGAGTATCTCGGGCCTTGTACTTACTGTAACACTTTACATACATGCATTTCTTCAGTAAGACTGTAAACCTCTGGGGGATTAGGAGCACATCCTGCCGAGCATGTTACAGAAGCATAGTAAGTAAAATTGGGATCTCAGAAATGTGATCAGCTTCTTAGGGCTCTTTTACTCCTGTTTTCAAAACCCTAATTCCCTTCTTAAGGTGGAAAATATATGATCATGCCTTAACACACTAGATGTAGTCTCATTCTGGAAAAACATGGTAAGACCATGAACGTTTAACCAAATGTTTTCAGAATGCTGAGGTTTTTTTTCAGTAGTGAATATTTGCAGTTTAACAAATATGGCTCCGGGATTGGTGAATAAAACACCTAATTTTAAAGGAAACCTCTAAACAAAGGTAAAAACAAATCTGAAATAGTCTAGTAAAAAGAAAATGGAGGTGTGGTTTATTTCACGTTACCACTGACATAAAGGACTATTGTTCGAAGATGGTGAACAGCTAATCTCAGTGTTCATTGAGAACAACACAAAGGGAGATGATTCAAAAAGAGAAATAGAGTATATGGATTAAATTCTGAGGATTTCTGGATGGAGGAGGTTATCAAATACTGGAACTGAAAGTTTCGATTGTCTACTAAATGCCTTTTACAAATGTTTGATTCTTCTCTGGGAATGCTTCGTGGAGCAGAGGGATCTCATCTCCAGGAACAGAGAAGCCCAGCCCCCTGTGTGGCCCCGCTACAGATTCTGTGGGGCTGGTTTTTCAAACATAAACAAGCAGATTTCCTGACATCCTTCAATCAAATAAAATGCCTCTCATTTTATTGCTTTAGTCCTTTGGTAAATGTGAGTTAGGAGAATGAACTGTCAAAGTCTGTTCCATCCTGGATTATGGATCATACATTTGACTGTCTTAAGATAAATCTATGCAGAAGAGGAGAGAACAGAGTGTTCAAAATTGTGAGAAATGAGATTAAACCATAGCACTTGGGGATTCTCTAAAAATCTTCCCAAACATTCTTTATTTTTACTTACAAAATATGTCAACTGGAAATCTGGAATCTAAAGATTCTAAATTCTAAAGAATTCTAAAGAATTCTTTAATTCTAAAAATTCTAAGAATCTAAATCTAAAGAATCTAAAGCAAGGTAGCTTGCTGCTTACCTTTGAGGGGTGCTGACTTTTGAAGCACCTATAGGCATTGAAGGCAGATGAAGACAAACCAAAAACTCCCTACAAGCCCATCCTAGGAAGTGAATGGAGGCTAAGAGAAAAAGCTTACTTGGCTCTAATAAATTGTATATTTCTTAGAAACAAATCTTTTCAGAACTTAGACACTCTGCTGAAAAAAGCAGAATTACTTTAAGATAGCTTTTGTCCAGAGGAAGTAGAAATCGGTCTTTTCAGAAAAGAGAATTTAAAGAGTATTTAGAACATAAATTAGCCTTATTTTTGCAAAGTGGACACAAATTTATATATAAACTGAATTTTTGTAAATTATATGTTTATTAATCATCTTGTATTTTAAATCACATGCTTTAAATGTAGTTATAGCACTCATCTTTTGAAATCTGTTACCTCTCATTTTTTTCATTACGGTAATATGTTATCATTTTTCCAACTAGTTTGTTTCTGTTTGGTTACATTAGTTCTTTTCATTGTTTTGTCTACAGTGATTCACAGGATAGATGATGTTCACTTTACCTTTTACCTCTTCCCAGAACATTGCCAGGGGTATAAACAGGGTTATGCAAAAATTCCCAGCAGGATAGGTCTTTGTAACTCTGTTCCTTTCTCTTG